AGACTTGTTAGACACACAACACAAATTTATTATAAATCAGTCTTAAAAGATGGATCGTTCTGATATCCAACTGATATTAAACCATCTCAATTTAAGTGAAGATTGTGTTGCTAATATCTATCATCATGGTTCATGGGTGTATGGTACGAATAAACCTAATTCTGATCGAGATATTTTTATTATTACCCGCTCATTTTATCAAAATCCATTACAATTTTGGACGGATTTCGATTATTTTCATCAACATGAAGTATATAAATTATTGGATAAATATGATGTGTGCATTTATTCAATAGAAAATTTCGAAATACTTTTAGAAAATAGTTATTTAATGGCTGTTCAATGTGTATTCTTACCAGATGAATATAAAATCAAAGAAGATATCGATTTTCGACAAATTTACTTAGACAAATATTATGATATATTAGGATTAAAACGAGCTGCATTCTATGAAATGTACAGAGATATCAAGTTGTATAATCCTAAGACTAATTCAGATGATCCATTACATAATTCAATGCCAAATGAACACCGTCAATCGCGTAGAAAACATGTACTTAAAAATTTATTTCATGGTATTAGATACTTAGATTTTGTTGACCAATTGATTCAAACAAAATCGATCTATGATTATAAACGTGTAACATATATATTCAATCAGATGAAAGAAATACTTGGTGATCCAGGAGATCAATCAAGTATGAAATGGTAATTAAGAAAAATTGGATCGTTTTGATTCTTCAAAAAAAAAACATAATTGTTCTTTTTTTTTCAGTGTTGTTGAATTTGTTCGTGCAAAAAGTGATGAATTTAAATCCAGATTAGATACACTTGTACCAACCGATAATATTACAGGTACTTTCGAAGCACAGATTACATTTGATTGCACGCAGAATCCTGAACAAGTTATTGAAAAACTTAAACGAGCATGTGAAAATACAAAATATAATCTCCTATTAATTCAATTAGATACAAAACAAGGAAATAAAAGACTTCAACAATTTATGACATCATCTTTTCATTGCGGTGAATATCCATCTATTGTTCAACAAATCAAAGAAGAAGCACATCAACATTTCCAAGAGTTTAATATCATACGTATTAAAATTAAATCTTCAACATCCAATGTATGTATACCACAAAAAGATATTGATATGAAATTATTCTGGAATAAAGGTAGAAATTATTTTGAATTTAATTATCATCTATCATTAAAAAATGATCCTCAAGGAGAACAGTTAAAAAAGCTCATAAATAAATGTCAATCCAATTACAGACTTAATTCACAAGTATCGTTTAATGTAATTAAACAAATCAACGAAAAAAACTTTCACCATAGGATTACCATGGATCTATTTCGTGTTGGTCGAAAAAGAGCATTTGAAATAAATGATGAAATTGTAGAATATTCAACAAGAAATGATTTT